GGCTGAAGTCAACTTGGAATTGGCGTATTTATCCATGAGCTGGCTCAGGGAGTCTTTGATCTACATGGATCTCGGCCAAGGCGAAGGTACATGTAGTTCCAAGAAACAGGAACAGTAATATTAGAGAGTTCATTTTGGGCACTGCCTTTGCTGATTCGCAAAGAAATGTTATTAGCACGGCTCATGTCCACCATTCTATAAGCCTGTGGCTTCCATCTGAATTGCCAAAAGCGAGAACAAAGTTGCTTTTGTCAAGGCCTTGTTTGCTTTTACGCAGCGTGTAAAGGATAAACAGGTTTCTCAGCTGATACCAATAGTGAGGGTTTATTTACTTACTGTACGCACGTTTCCTCTCGTTGTTGCACTTTAGTCGACTTTTCTTTTCAAAAGAACTCACATTTGACAATTTCTTGAATATTTTCGAATTTTCCTTTCTTGGTGAAGACTGAAAGTCAATTTGGGCAGGTCAGTCACCTTGGTTACGTGTTGTAGATGTAGAGAACACAGGACAAATGCATTGTCAAAATTCAAATAACAGTTACTCTACTGAGTTAAGTGAACAGTTTTTATTTATCTTGTACACTCTTTGTTTCGGGGACCACAAAACCACGTAAACTAACATAATAAAATTGCTTACTATCCTTCTGACAAACATAAGTTTTATTTAAATACAGTACTGCAAACAAAGGTGTCTTTACAAAACGGTATTTTTTGTTTAGGTATGTGGAGCAAAACACAAGTTTACTTTGTGAATACAATGCAAAAACGTATTCGTAGTAGTATTTGAATCGTTTAACCTTTGTAACCTCTCCCTCCCATCGCCTGCCTAAGAGTTGTGTGCTTAGTTACCTGGCCAATGAATGCAAGCGAGGCAGGAGGTGATCTTGTTTTGATACAGAAATCTGTGCTTTTCTCATTTAAATGCCAACTAGTTAGCATAAGAACAAGTTGATTTACACAAAGGTCTTTATCAAAACGGGGTCACCTGAAACCTCGCTGCCATTCAAAGAACAGGTCACTGAGCAATAAGCAAACAGCTGTAAAATGGCCTATTCCAGTTTCCTTCGAGCTTCTTGAGACAAACAAGCTTTGCTAATCAAATATTGAAAACACTTGTTAATTTACCAGGGACCTGTGTACCACGAAAAAGCACAAAACGTCTTTTTGGTTGAAATCGCTCTTAAACAGAACATTTAATTTCGCTATTGAAAGCACTAAAGGAAAAAAACTTTATGAAACGGAACATATTTCTTTTGTGCATGGATGCAAACACAGTCCTTTCCGGCGCGCAAACATAAAAGTCACAAGGTTCATTTCGCGAACACAAAATCCCATTACAGTAAATGTTTGCCCTTTAATAACGCACGCGGTCCAGCCGTTATTACACATAAAGAACACCTGACACAAGCTTCTCCCAATATCTGTGTAAATCTGCTCCTTCTTGACTTGAAAATGAGGTAGAAATCAACGTTTTTCATTGTTTCTAACAACTTTATTAGTCCTAGTGGATTTGGGATTTCCTCTGTCTTTTAAGATTATCGCGTACATTCAAAGAGACATTTCACAAAATATAAAAATCGCTTCGAATAAAGATGATTTGTACCTTCCAGTTTAGACTGAAATTCTTTAATTCGTATTCCGGAAAACCCAATAAAATTTTTGAATAGATATATTTATAAGCTTTAATTTGTTACATAGTTTAGGATATCTGAGTGCTACATTCGTTGGACTGGAGACGCCCCGGAAGGTACATGGTAACCTTAGTTTTACGAAGAAGAAGTATAAAATACAAAATCAATTTATATTAAAGTGCGAACACCGAAATTAAAACGTGTTTACCAGCTATTCGTTTTGCTTCGTCGTAATCACTTTTATGAGTTGTTAGACGTACTATTAAAGGTTCTACATTTCAAAATTTTTTTTTTTTCATGTATTATTTTGTAAGTCTTCAGATACTATACATAGTTTAAGTCTATGCATATTTATATAATAACCAAAGTTATTCTCCCATTTCGATTGGTTCTCGCCTATGATCTATTAGAGGACAGACGCACGATTAACAAAGTTTTTCCCTCTGTGTTTTAAAATGGCGGAAAGTTTTGTGAATTTATATAATATTTTACGTGACTGGGCGAAAGATAGAGTACAAAAAAGTCTTGCCGAGGCATTGAACAGGTATGAGAAGCAGGAAGAAGAAAGATAAAGCCGGTTTTATGTTTAGAAAATGACTCAGAAAATATACTCGAGCAGTCTCAGTCGGCAGTCGAGCCAGACTAAACCAAGCACAAAATTGGTCTTGGTAAGCCGAGAACCATTTCCGCTTACTCTCGAATTTAACAAACCCAATAAACAAAATGTTTATGAGATTAATTTATTTTAAAAATTCAACTTTTCTCAGTCTCAAAGTAATTGTTAAAACAGTGATTGATGTCAGGAATGACACAACAAAACATCACTTCTTAAAATCAGTTAAACTAAACACATAACCTTGCTTTCCGATGCAAATGTTCCAGTTCGTTTCAGGGCACAGCAGCGAGCCAAGTATAGTTCACTACAGCTCACGGCCAACTGTATCGCTGCTCAAAGGTATCTCCGACACTATTTCAAACTGATTTGAGAATCACCAACCACAGAGGACACAAATTTCCGCCGTCACTAAAGCTCCTTTCATTAAAAATTCGAATCGAATGGCCTCCAAATTGACCGCAACCGCAAGTTTTCCGAGCGTATTTTTCAACTCCGGCAATATTCAAGGCAACGTCCAAGCTTTTCGGTTCATAGGTCTACTCTGATGAAAAATACTGACTTGGCTTTTCCAGCTTTTTCTTTAAGATTTGTAGATTTCGTAGCTCAATTCTGCTTTCACTGTAAGTTTTCGTTCCACAAGAAGCGACGCTCGAGTCAAGTTTGACAGTGGCGCGATTTTCCTGGACCAATCACAATTTTTTGCTACCCATAGCAACCAATCAAATTGCTTCATTTTGTATAAACAATAGATAACGTCAAATGGCTTTTTTCGTGTTCGCCAAAGTGGGCAAAGGCCGGCTTTCGAGTTATGTTGAAAGATTTTGAAATAAAAAAAGCTTTATCTGTAGTAGTTGGTTTCGTTATTATATAAAACAAATAGATTCCATGTTGCCGTGCGTCTGTTCAGTAATAGATCACAGAAGACGTCAAAATGTGGTAAGAACATCAGTGACACACTCCGGGCCATCGCCTCGTGTGCCACTTCTTTGTTCTTACCACATTTTGACGTCATCTGTAATCTATTACTCAACAGACGCACGGCAACATGGAATCTATTTTTTTAAACAGAGCATTTTCGACTGCATTACGGGGGATCTGTTTCTCATATCATATTAATCTATCAGGTGGCATAACCCAAGCCAAGTCTCTCAAAATCCCTAGAGCTTAGAGGTTACGCTAGGGCATCCCTCAAACGATCAGTGTGCAGGGTATTCGACCTTCTCCTGGGTGAATCGATCTGTTGTTAAAATTTTATAAGGAATTCAGGAAAAAGAAAAAGTAGCTATTTCGTGTTACTATTAAAAATCGTGAGTCTTCAATATCACTGAGAATCAGGCCGACTGGAATATTCGGCTTCACTGTGCGTGAGTTTTGTTGGAGTCTCAGTCTGCGAGGAAAGTCGTGTTTATTTGTATAATCTGATCACCCCTATCTAAGCCATCACTCGTCAATAACCCAGTGACAGGATAAATCAACACCGGAACTTTACAAGTGACTGACTGACTGGTTATTTGCATATCATTTGCATAATCTGATCACCCACCGCAGCTCAATACAGTGGAACTCCGTTAATCCAGTCACCAACGAACCACAACAATTTGGCCGTATTAACGGGGTGGCCGTATTAAAGGGGTTCTTTTAATATGAAAATGGCTGACTGAGCTGTTGTTCGGACCAGAATTAAGTGGCCGTAATGACGAGGTGGCCGTGAGGCAGGCTTCCACTGTACTTGCTATTGTAATCACGAGCTGAAAAGGAGACGTCCAAGTTACCGATCCTTGGGAAACCTGTCCAGAAATTGATTAAAGGAGAAGGTCACCCTCAGCAGCCAGGCCGCCTTTTCGTGACGTCATTTCATCCAAGGGATTTTGTCCAAATGGCTTTCGACAATTCTTTTAACTACCACTCTGGGTTATGGCTGCTCTTGAGCCGTATTATTGTTCCGGCGACCAAGAAGCGTTTGAATAATTACCAAGAGACAGTTGCAAGACCTCGTGCTAAGCTATAGAGTTTCAGTTCTTTGACAAAGGAGAATGTGAGAAGCCATCCAATGTTTACTATGGATTTTTTAAGCTTTTATTTCTACTTACGAATGCCAATGTTAACGAGGATACGCTTGGACAAATGTAAGTCGACTATTTTACCATATTTCGTTTCGTTTTGTTTTCAATCGAATTTGTGTTTCAATAAGANCACGCTTGGACAAATGTAAGTCGACTATTTTACCGTATTTCAAGTTCGTTTCGTTTTGTTTTCAATCGAATTTGTGTTTCAATAAGACTGTAGTTGTAATTGGAATTTTCTGTTATCACATCTTCAGATTATCGTAAAAGTACGGTTGCCATTAAATCCTGAAAATCCAAGCCTGTTTTCTTGATCGCCTGAAATTCTATTTATCGACGTTTCAATTATTGTGAGCCAAACATGCTCTAAACTCTGAAAGGGATAGCAGTGAAGATAGTAAAGTGCATAATCGCTTGGAAAAACTACATTTTGCTGACCTTGCGAAGAATGCCAAGTCAGTTGCAGCTTTTTTCTGCTTCCCGCCAATTTCAAGTCGGACAGAATGATTCATTTCACATAAACAAGACCAGGCTGCCAAGAACAGTTTCCAAATGGCGGCCTTGAAAGTCGAGTTTTGGGCTTCTTTCGAGACGAATTTCTTTAAAATAGCAGGCACTTATTTTACTATATAAGCTGAGTGCTTATCTAGAAAATACATGCCATATAGTTCATTAAATACACAAGTTGGATACTTTTTCAATGCTTTATTTTCATGTCTTTGTAGTTTATCCCCTACAACAGCTACACATGCCTGAATTATGTTCTACCGTTGAACTTAAGGCTCTTCAGGCATCTGGCCCTCACTGACAAAGCGCCAAAAGTTCCGGATAACTCGCCGAGCACAATACTTTCCTGGGTATACAATCGTCGTCCTGCAAAAGGAAGCACAATAAAAACCTCATCTATTTTACGAATTCCGTTTCCATTTTGATGCCCCGGATAATCTGTCTGATAACTCGGGTGCAACTTCAGGTTAATGTTTCTCGAAGGAAGCTGAATCTTGGGAAAATCATAAAATCACTTCAGTGCATTGTCACAAAACAGTTTCAAATGACAATCGCTAAAACTTGAATTGCCAGCGCCAAAACGTTCCCGGAAACTAGCTCAAGAAAACATAAAATTGTTTGATAATGTTAAACTTTGTTCGCATGAGAATTTCTTTAACATTACATCATGCGGTAGTTTGAGACGAATGAGTAAAAATATAATGTAGTTATGAAGCAAACTAGGCTTACCATGAGAGGCCCAGAAAAACGAGCGCGGCGTGGATCGTTTTCCTCATCAGCTACCTTGCCTGACTCTGTATGTGGCGGTGGCGGTTTTGATGGTTTATGTTCCTTGAGGCAGTCATGGATACACTTTCGCTGCAAAAGATAGCATAATAACGGAGTAATCTTTATGGTTTTCATGAACTTAGTTCATCTTTATTCCCAGATGAATAAGAGCCATTTTGTAATTGACTGCCTGTTCTTTAACGGGATTTAGATTTACGAAAATCTGTGATGTGGCTCATGTGCTTCGAGGCACTCCTTTATACACTTTTTCTACAAAAAAAAGCATAAAAAATAATGAACCATCATTATTTTAATGAACTTAGTCTTTATCATGATGCCCGGATATGAATATGTCTGAATTTAGATTTGGGAAATTAGCCATACTACATTGACAAGTTAATTGGTTTTCATTCTGCCGAATTGTAATCGAGCAAAATTTACAAACATCGATAAAAGTTTCCAAGACAATTCCATTCAATTGCCAACGGAATACTCCTTAGTTTAGTATGTAAATATGTTCTACAATTTTTAACCTGGAAACTATTATTACTTCAAGAGCAACCCTAAAAGATAACTTGACAGCTGAAACGGTAGCTTTTGTTTCTGACCACCCTGAGCGAGAACAAAATCCTTGATGTAAATCCCAAATGGAGACAACGAGCATTTCCTATCTTTTTATATGGGCGTCCCCCCTTCTTTGTCGGGTAATTTGGGATGAACGAGTAAAAGTATAAAATAGCTATGAAGCAAGCTGACCTTACCACTTTAGGCGGTAAAGAAGGATGACGATTACCACGGTGAACTCGAGGATCGTTTTCCTCGTCAGCTAGTTCGCCCGGCTTTGTTGGCTTCATGCATTTTTCCTTGCACTTTTTCTGCAAAAAGAAGGTTAATGGTGCAACTTTCATTATTTTCATAAACTTAGTTTCTATCTTGATCTCCGGACTAATCTACCTGATAACTAGGGTGCCACTTTGAGATTATGTTCCTACCAGTTAACTGACTATTAGAACATCACCAAACGTCTTGATTAACAAGTTAATTGGCAAGGCTGTCTGGTGGATTAAAACGGACGATTTTAGAAACATTTCGAAAAATTTTCCAAGGCTTAAGGTTCCTTTAAAAGACTACAACCATCGATAAACTCAATTGAAACCACCAAAATGTTCATAGAAAAACTTAAGAAAAGAAGTGGGTAAATTACACTGTTGATAGTAGAATTTTCCTTAAAATTGGTAACACAAATTGAGGACGAAACGTATATATAAAGCAAACTATTCAAGCTTACCAAGATTGGGCGAGGCGCTTTATGGGGTGGATCATTTTCAACATGGATCTCGGCCAAAGCGACGGTAGCTCCAAGAAACAGGATCAGTATTAGAGAGTTCATTTTGGGCACTGTCTTTGCTGGTTCACAAAGAAATGTGATTAGCACGGCTCATGCCCGCCCTTTTTATAAGCCTGTGAGATTGGGATTGCATCTAAATTGACAAATCGGAGAACAACGAAGTCTTTGTTGAGACCAGGTTTGCTTCCTAAGCAGCGGGCACAAGGTAAACAGTTTTCTCAGCTGATATCAATCGTGAGGGTTTATTTACTTACTGTACGCACGTTTCCTCGCGTTGTTGAACTTATTATAAAGTCGACTTTTCTTTTCAAAAGAATTCACATTTGACAATTTCTTGAGTATTTTCAGATTTTCCTCTCTTGGAGAAGACTCAAAGTCCTTTTGGTCACGTTATCACCTTGGTTACGTATTGTAGATGTAGAGAGCTCAGTACAAATGCATTGTCAGAGTTCAAATAACAGTTACTCTAGTGAGTTATGTGAACTTTGTGCACTCTTTTTTTCAGGACCACAAAACCACGTAAACTAACATAATAAAATTGCTTACTATCCTTTGGGCAAAAAAAGGTTTTATTTAAACAAAGCACTGCAAACAAAGGTATCTCTACGAAAACGATATATTTTGTGTATGTGGAGGGAAAAACAAGTTTATTTTAAGGACACAAGAAAGTATTCACAGCAGTATTTGAACGTTAAAACCTGTGTAACCTCCCCTCCAATGACCTGCCTCGTTTTCCTCAGTTATCTCCAGTTTCCTTCTTGAGATAAACAAGCTTAGTTAATCGAATATTAAAAACACTTTTAATTTGTCAGGGCCATGCGTACCACAATTCAAACCACAAAACGTCTTTTTGGTTGAAGTCGCCCTTAAACATAAAACATTTATTTTTGCGATTAAAAGCAGTAAAGATAAAAAAAAAATCTTCATGAAACGGAATATTTTTCTTTTGTGCAAGATGCAAACACAGTCCCTTCTGACAAACATAGAAGTCACAAGATTTATTCTGCAGACACAAAGATCCCTTTACAGTACATGTTTGCACTTTTATAACACAAGAAGTCCAGCTGTTATTACACATAAAGAACCGCCGACACAACCTTGTTGCAATATCACGTATAAATCTGTTCCTGCTTCACTTAAAAATGAGGTAGAAATCTATATTTTGCATTGCTTTTGACTTGACTTTATCAGCCCTAGTTGATTTGAGATTTCTGCGCTTAAGTTCCTCTGTCGTTTGTTGCATACCTTTAACGATTGTTGCATACCTTCAATGTGAAAATTCCCAAAATATAAAAATCGCGTTAAATAAAGATGATTTATACCTTCAATAACAATAGGAACAACAGCTTTATTTCTCCCTTATTTTTTAAAAAATTAAATTAAATAGTAATATAATAATCAAATTAAAATAAAGGATAACTGACAACCTGAAATAACCTGAAATAGTGCCAGGTTGCCAGTTAATTTCATATATATTACAATTTTTAGTCGATAGCTAACTTACAATTTGTAGTCGGTACCTTCCAGTTTAAACTTAAACTCTTTAATTAATTTTTCGGAAAAGCTAATAAAATCTTTGAATAGCTCTATTTATAAACCTTATTTGATTTAGGATATCTGGGTGCTACATTCCTTGGACTGGAGACACCCCTGAAGGTACATGGCAACCTTAGTTTCATGAAGAAGAACTAGGAAATACAAAAGCAATTTATATTAAAGTGTGAACACAGAAAGCGTGTTTACCAGCTTTCGTTTCTGTATCTCTACGCAGTAATCACTTTAATTACGTGTTTTTTAACGTATTATTAAAGGTTCTACTTTTTAATACGTATTTTTTCTTTCATGTCTTACTTTGTAAGTCTTGAGATACTATACCGTAAAAGTCCACTTTACAGCGCCCCCACTCCCCGTTATAAGCGCTTCCACCCGGATATAAGCCCATCTATTTGCTAACAAAGATATTATTCCGGATATAATCCCCCAGATATCAGCCCATCTAATGTATAATTGCGTTCCTTAAGCGTTTCTTTACAAACATCAAAATTTTTATTCGAAAGTTCTAGGAATAAACAACTGGCTGTGGAGTTTAGAACAATAATTATAACGATACCAAACAAAGAAGCAAGTCTTCATACTTATATGACCACGTTCCACTGTTCATTTACAACACAATTGTTCAACGACAATGTTTTGCAGTACGGTAATTAAGCAAACGGCTAGCTACAATCCGGCAGTTTTCCATGCACGCAGATTTTTTTGTAGCCTCCGTAAAATGAACATTGAGCCTTCCGTATTCCTTTCCTCACTTGCGCTTTGTGTTTCTTGCTCCTGTAAATGTTACACAAACATGCTAATTCAATTCCACCTCCAATAACCCAAGGCCCCTAAAGTGGAATTTTAAGATAGTTTATGTCTATGTATGCATATACAGAGCATTTTCGACTGCATTACGGAGGATCTGTTTTTTTATATCATATTAATCTATCAAGTGGCATATCCCAAGCAAAGTCTCTCAGAATCCCTAGTGCTCAGTGCTTATAGGTTAGGCCATCCCTACAACGATGTGCAGGGTATTCGGCCCTTTTTTTTTCCAAAGTTGTTTCTCGGATATGTAGTTATCCAATCGGTCCCCCGATATAGCTGGACATCCATATATAGTAGGACTACAGAGCCACAACTGAAAGCTTGACCTATGCAATTCTTTTATAACGTAGCGACTAAATCCCGTCGGAAAGAAGCCCGCAATAGACAACTTCTTGGTAGGATGAGTCCAAGTCTCTGTCGTGCTTGGTACAGTACAGATAGGCCAACTCTCTATGCTCCAGCCTCCACTAAGTGTCCCGATCATTTCATCATTATCAGCCGCATGCAAACGTTACATATTCCGGCAACCTCCCATGCAAATTAAGCAGACCTCTTTCTTAAGTGTACAAGATTTTTGGTCGGTGACGGCTCTTGACGACGAGAAATCACTTTAGGTGTGACAACTTAAACACCCACGCTCACAGACAAGGAAGTTCCGAAACAGGAATAGCTGGAACATGAA